ACAGATGAGGAAGCTGAGCCTAGAACAGCAGAACTATGTCCTGTAACTTCAGGAATCACATGGTTACAACTCATTAGCGGCATTGGGTTCTGTGATAGCCAGTATTCAAGATAGTGCCCAATGATCCCTGCCTTTTGTGTTATTTTCTCCTACACTAAGGAAGACTCTCATGTATAACCACTATGCTACCATGGAAATGCCACATATATGACTTCAGAAGCTGAGCCAAAAAAGACATCACAGCTCCTGCCATGATCTCTCCTGGATCATCACTGTGGGGGAGCCAGCTGCCATGTCATAATGATGTTCAAGCAGCGTCATAGATGAACCCTCCTACCTAGGAATGGAAGCCTCCTGCCAACATCCAGTGAAAAACTAAAGCCTCCTGCCCTTATCCAGCACTGATTTGCCAACCATGCAAGCAAACCCTATTGGGAGCAGATCCTCCGCCCCAGTCAGATGATCCTGGCCCCAGCTGACACCTTGACTACAATTTCATGGAGACCCAAAGCTTCAGCTACCTGGCTAAGTCACCCCTGAAATGCTGACTCACAGAAGTTGTGAGATAATAAATGTCTATACTATTGTCTTAAGCAATTGGCAAGTTTTTTAGCTATGAAAAAAAAACAAAGTTGGGAGTGAAGGGAGAGTGGGGACATTTGTTACACAGCTACCAAATAGCAATACAGTTCCAACTCCAACTGTTCTGTTCCAGATGAAGGTCACTAACTGTGACCTTGAGAAACTCTTCAAAGCACTCTCTGGGACTCCCCTGATAAACAATAATCTAAGTCAACTTGTGAGTCGTTCTCAAGGTGACTGATGAACCATTACAACCAGGTTCATGGGATGCTCCCTGTAAAAATGGACTCCTGGCACACATGGCCAACCTATGCCATGTAAGTATTTAAGGAACATTTCACTTGCACATCCAATCTAGCAACTCATAAAGATCTAATTTAGGACTCTGGTAAAACAACAACCCACAGATGGTCACTGAGAATCATTTATATTTGCTGCTCTGTACAATACATCCCATAAGATGGTGTTCCTTCACATATTCCCTGAAAATGCCTTCCTTTATCCCCACCTTCCAAACCTATCCCTTGCCTCAGGTCCATCTCCCAAGCCTCCAAAGTTTCCCCAGTAACTTCCTGTGACACCACCCTCCAGGCCTCAGGTGCTTGACAGAGTGGGCTGGTAAATGTTTAACAGCCACTTCTCCGGGAGCCTTTCTTGATTTCTGTGGAGTTAATATTTCTACCATCACTGATTTAAAGCTACCAACATCACGTCCCTGAATGCATAATTGGGAAAAAGATGTGCGCAGTCAGTCTCCCAAGCCAGTCCAGCTGTACCAACACACCACTGCATTTCCAACACTTGCGTCTCCCTTCCTGTCCTCTTGATTGTTTTTGAAATATCCTTAAGACATACCCAAATTCACAGCATCTCTCCCTCAGCCCTGGCCTTCCTCATCTCTTCCTTGGATTATTGCAAGAACCTCTTTCTTGTTCTCTCTGCCTCCAGATCCTTCTCACACCTGCACCCCCTCATAGTGGGCACTCCCATGTCACCGTCCCATGGCACCACAGCATTTATCCTCAAAGTCCATAATTTTCAATGAAAAGGCTAAAGCTATTGGTAGTACACGCTCTTAATGGCCAGACTTCTGTCTACATCTCATCTACACACACACACACACACACACACACACACACACACGCACACATACTTCCCAGGGGACTTCTGTGATAAATCACGGTTCTGTTCATGCCCCCATAAGATTCCTACAGCCTGAAATGCCTTCTTCCCAGTCACAAACATCACTCCTCCCTCTGGGCACATCAGCATTTTCTTATTCCCTGCTAGTTCCCCTCCCTCAGCCCTTCTTATCTCCCTGTTTCATAGCACTTTATCAAGAACTTAGTTTTATGGAGGGCTCACTTATCGTGGGGCATCCTGGCTAGTTTTGTGTACCTCTGACTTTCTCTCCTTCCCAAAATCACAGGCTCTTTGTAGAAAGGACCCTAGGTTGAGTGTCCTACTCTTCAGTGCCTGGCCCTGTGTCCTAGCAGTGGGAGAGCCTATTCAGGTCTGGAGAAGGAAGGAATGTTCCAGAGGTCAGTGGGGTAAAGTCATAGGAATGAGACAAAGTCAAGGACCTCTCCTACCTAGGAAGGCAGAGAGGGGTGCAGCTGGCTGAGGTAGGGTTGTGGAAAGAAAGTAAGAAACGGGAGCCCTTCCAGAACCCTCTGCAATGGCTAAGGCTCCCAGGACTACTACTACTACTCTCCATTTGGTTTCTTTGTCCCTCACTAGAGCTTGAATGTCCTACCCTCAAGAGTTACAACTCCACCCCTTAGCTTCTGTGTCTTTTACATGCTTGAAGTTGGATAATTGCAGGCTCAAAACAACTTCTTCATCACTTGTTAAAAACTGTGGTCTAGGCCCTGGCCCGAGGGCGGAGGCAGCCAGTCCTCCTTCTCCAGTAGCACTCAAACTTTAGTCACCGATCACATGGACCCGATCTTGGATTTCAAGTAGCTTCCTTGAAAATAACTGTAGGAAGATGCCCTTGGCGGTTAGCTCTGGTCCAATTACTAAGAGATTGGAGTAAGCCTCTTCATTCCCACTGGTTCTCCATCTGAAAAAGAAAGTTTGTGACCAGATAATCACTATTATCATTTGATAATGTGATTCCAAGTCATTTGCCCCTCTTTGTGCCTTCACCTATAAAACAAAAATAATAAGCTTTATCCATTTCAGAGGGCTGTTTAAGATTAAGTGAGATGATGTATATAAAAATGCTATGTAAGCTATTAACTATAGTATATTAGTTGTTATTGTGAAATATAATGTGCTGAAAGCATTTTGTAGATATTGTTGCATAAATTAAGTAGATTTTAGCATGATTGTAGATATCATGGTGCATGTTAACTTAGGAGAGAAGAATATACTAAAGGCAGGTCCTCTGAAGTGGGGACCCTTCCCATGACTGAGCAAACTCACGAATCAAAAGCCGTATGTTGTAGGGCACTCCTACAATCCCAGCACTCAAGTTGAGGCAGGAATAAGTACAAGGCCAGTTTGACCCTCCCTATCTGAAACAGAAAGAAAAAAACTGAAAAACAAATAGAAACTAAATAATCAGATATCTACTGGGTGCACTATGGACAGACTCTACAGGCCAGGCCTATATGGATAGTTTTATTGTGGTTTTCTTCATTCCCCAAGATCTACACTAAGGATTGCTTATTTAAATCCAGACATGCCTGTTTATTCTAAGGCTTGTCCTGAATGTTCTGTCAGCCTTTTAACAAATGTGCTGAAGAGAATTACAGTAACTCAGGGCTGTTTGCCTTTCCCAGGTAGAGCATATCTAGGCCACACTAGTATTTCAAAGGCTTTTCTTTCCATCTTTGTTATTATTATTCAGCTCTTCAAAAGCAAGGTCAAGATTCAGAAGTAAGCCAGGTCTCACTTTGATCTGCAAGCTCATGACCACACTCTACCCAGCAGCCTTCATCCTCAGGTCTCCAAGCACAATAAAAGTATAATTAGGAAATCTTTACAGTGTCCTTGAGAATCGATGCACCTGGAGTGACTGAACCAGGGACAGCATGAGGAGTTCCAAGTCACTGCACAGCTTTTGCCTGAGAACAATTACCACCCCTGCTCTGTGCTGCAAAGAGTGAGGTCCCCTTTCCCTTTGCTTCACAGAGGGGCAGAGAACCAGTGGCAATGTCGTCAGCAGAGCAGCTTCTGCAGATGATACTGGAAGTGCAGCTTCTGTTTCAGCCCTGCCATTTGATGATTAGAATAAAAGGCTGAATCCTAAGCAGCTCA